ACTTGGCTTTTCCATCCCTGTTTCTATTTATGAGCTCATTTATCCCATCTATCTTTCTCCAACATCAAGTCCTGATTAGGCTGAGCAGAAACACAACAGGCTTTCTTTCCCACAGGAGGCTCTTTTTGACCTTCCTTTCCTCTCCTTGTCTGACAAATTGTGGGAGCTGACCCATATCTCAGCGGCTGCGGGGATAATTCAGTCCAGCCCCATCCTGGCAGGCAGCTGTCTCTGCAGCTCTTTTCTGCTGGTTGAGAACAAGTGGTTGGGACATCTCGGGCCGGCCGTTGGCAGGGTTGGGTGCAGGCATTCAGGTTAAATCAGAACCAGTGCTAACCTTTGCCCCAAACCCAATCTGGCCGGGAGGACGGGCTCTTCTGAAATCAGCTGGTTCTGCGAGGCAGACAGTGATGGATTGGGGAGGTTTCTTAGTCTCGCCATGCCTCCCTCTCCCATCTGTGAAGGGGATGATGAAGGTAACAGATTGAGTGATACTCTGCGGTGAACATCGAGCGTTCAGGATCCTTGTAGCAGCATACTCGCTTACTGAGCAAGGTGTGTGAGGGACTCTGCTCTTATCTGGACCCTGGGCATGACTAGAACATGAAGAACCTGCTTGGATTATCTTCTTTTAAGTAATTTTCCATGAGGGCTTTCCTGTATCTATCTGCTTCTCCTCAGTAGAGCTGAGCAGTTTCTATAACACATCTCCTGTCTACTTGATACATTCTTTGGAAGACGATTCAGAGGGACAAAAGCCCCAAACGTCTTTAGCAGGTACAAACTGTTGTCTTCAGTGTCCTATATTACATTTCATCCCCTTGGAAAGCAGCACATTTACACAGTGCAGGATCTCTGCTGTGCACAGACAAATGATCACCAAGAACTTGTCTTTTTAAGAAAAAGCAGGTTTTTGACATGCTTTTTTTTCTGTTCTTGGGTTCTTCACACAGCTCTTTTCCCAAGTGCTGGCTACATTTGTCCCAGAGTTTTTCTAGTTAAACAATCCAAACCAGCAGCTTCAAAACTTCTTCCTCTTCCTCATCTTCTTCCCACCAGTCTGGTTTTAGCAGCCGTAGCCTTCACCCCAAGCTTAACATGGTGTAACAGGATCCTCTGGCAGGGGGAATCTTTAGTGGCTGATAAAACCTTAACTGTTGTGAAATGAAAGCAGGTTCCCTTTGAAGTGCGCCTCGCATTACAGTTAGATGCTCTAGCCTCTATATTTTAACTACCAATAAAATGATTTATAAGCATAAAGGCCTGAGCCACCTTTAAGGCGGGGGAAGGGAAAGAATTGCTAACGTCATTAGCTGGGATGTATCTTCTTTTTTTTTTTCTGTGGGTTATAAATAAGGGGGCAGAATCAACCTGTTTGGGCCATGAAATGTCCCTTCCTCTGCACGGGAAGATAAATCCTATCAATTTTCTTTGTAGAAGGTTTCAGTGTATTTGTGGCTGGATTCTCCAGCCAGGCTCTGTTAGGAAGTGCTACGTTTAAGCGTGTGGTTGTGGATCTTATTTGGTGCATGTGTATTTACTATTATTAGCATTTATTATTTGTTTTGTTGTGATGCTTCTAGCCAAGACTGAGATCCTGCTGCGCTGGGTCTGGTGCCTATTGGAAGTTACAGAGAGCTTCTATCTCAGATGGCTGATTGTTCAAATAAACTATGGTTTATTTGAACTGTGGGTTTTATCCTCAATTTAGAGGTAGTGATCTTTGGGTTTTATCCTCAATGTGGGTTTTATCCTCAGTTTAGAGATAGTGATCTGATGTGTGGATTGTGTAAGGACCAAAATTGGTTGAATGCAGCAATGTTTCCTCTGACTAAAAATCAGAAAAGCAAAGTCACAGGATGAGCCTGTAGCCTAATTAAGAACTGACTTTCTTTCTCTGGTGCTAGTCCACTGTCTTGAAAGTCAGCTTTCCTTTCTTCACAAGCCCATGCACACTGGAGACCAAAGTACACAAGACACTCCAAGAACAACCCATGCACTCTTTGCTCTGCTCTACCTGGTTTAAAAGGATCCCGAGTATCCTTTTACCTCCCTTAAAAAATAAGGGAACTGCACACCCTTAGCTGGGTGTGGAGAAGCAAGAGCAAAGGAGTGGAACACACACGTGTGAGTTTTAATTCTGAACAACGGGTGCAAAGGTGTGTGGTGGGACATGGACAACAATAACCTCACGTGGTGCAACACAAGACAACACAACACACATCTTTTCAAAGCTGTCTTTTGATCATACGTTAGCCAAGCCAACTGAGAAACCACCACAGGGAAGCCGAGGACTTGTGGGCATGTTGTTGGAGAAATGTGCGCTGTACTAGACCATCTCACTCCATGTGTTTCTTCTGAACTTCTAATCCTGAGTGGATTTGCCAGCATCTGGCTCTTGGTTATAAAAAAGGAACTTTCCCACCCTTTGCAATGTCAGAAAAGTGTCAGAAATCACTGAATTGGCTTTTACGTTCTTAGAGTTTGATTTCGCTTTCCCTCTTGATTCCTGGATTCCTAACTGTTGGGTTATGTTTTCTCTTCAGGTATTTGAATTTTATGTGCTGTCCTTAGCATTGAGATTTTTTTCTTTTTCTCTTTTTTCTTTTTTTTTTTTTTTTTTTTTTTTTTTTTTTTTTTTTTTTTTTTTTTTTTTTTTTTTTTTTTTTTTTTTTTTTTTTTTTTTTTTTTTTTTTTGGAGTGGAAGCTCTTCCCCTGGGACCAAGCCTTTTTCTCTGAAGACAGAAGGTTTATTTATCTCCTTACCTTCAGCTAACAGAAATACTCAGACAGGTTTTATGTCCTTAACTGTGAAAGTGGAAGCAAATTATATGAAAGGAGGAGCCAGATTCCATATCCTTCATTCAAAGCATGAATTACACATCCATACATGCATGAGAAAAGGACAGGACCATCCTCTCTGCATGACCAGAGCAAACAAAACATTACTTATTCATTTGTGTTGCTCACTGCTCCTAGAAACTGTGCCATGAATTGGACTGTATGAGAGTTGTAAAGTGCTACAGACCTTAACATTCATTCATTTGTCTCTCCTTAACTCTGTCCTAGATTCTATTAGCGACTTTTGGTGCCAAAAATGGACACAAGAGATTCTGACCTGCATGGACTTTGTTGATCAATGCAGATCGGATGTGAGCTGACCTATTTCTGTCATGCTTTTGGAAGGTGCTAAGAGGTTATGCTGTTTCAGCCAGTAGTGCAGTAGGAACAGGTCTGTAAAAAAGCCACGTTTGATGCCAAGGACCTGACATCAGCACTGTATACATCTCAGGGGGTTTAATTTAGACCAGTTCTTAAAAAAAAAAATCCAGGGTTTTTTTGTTTTCAGTGTTCTCAGATGTCAATAACAGTGTGAAGAGAACTGCCCGGCACTAGGTCCTTCCTACCTATCATCAACAACTCACACACAACTATCATTAGCAGATTGCAATCAAACTGGTTCCACTCAAACTGTTTCCACAACATACTAGTAGATGAGTAACATGTAGAAAGACCAATAATAGACTGTGATCCAAAGAACTGCACAGAAATCTGTGTGTGAAGCTCAGTGATTGTTTGTTGTTGCAGCAAACACCACGGCTGTGCGTGTGGACTGAGAGCCAACACCCCGTTAAATCAGAAGCTCTCAGTGAAAACACGTTGCCTTGTCATGCCGAGGGAGCTACACGTACCCACAGGTGCCAGACTAACCAGTGACCATTTCCAGGGAGAACTCAATTTAAAGGCCAGAGAAAGACTCCTGCTTTGAGATTTGGATCACATCTGAAGTGCCAGGCACATTGGACTAAGGTTCTGCTATATTTAAGGAAGGGAGTTTTGGTTGTAACCCCAGCTTCTGATCTGATGTTGAGCAGCTTGGAAATTTGATGGAGGACTTTTCCCCCCGCCTTGAATACAGTACACTCTCGATTTTTGCTCCATTTTTTCTTGTTGCTATGAAATTTAATCGTGTTTTCTAGCCCTTTAGGCCTCACAAAGTCCAGCAGCTGCATTCTCATCTGGTTTGAAAGCTTATCCGCATACTTCTGAACCCCAAACAGGGATCGGGCCTGAGAGCCTCTCTGATTGAATGAAGTAAACCAAGCCCAAGAGACAGCCTGAGAAACCCTTGCCACAACACAGAAGGGAGATTGCCCGTGATAAAACACATCAGGGCAGACAAATGTCTTTAGAAAAATCTTCCCTTGAGTCTGCCAGGTAAACTAGCACTGTAGGAAACACGAACCCAGCTTTGCACATGCATTAATACTGGGTTTATTTTAATACACAGAGATTTAAATTGGCTGCAGTACAATTCTAGTGCACACTGCAGTGCCTCTTGCAAGGAGAGCATGTCTTAGCATACAGACAACAGTGATTTGCTGCAGTACAGAGACGCTAAGAAAACCCTGTATTCCCTCTGGTCTGGTTCTATCTATTTAGCTTGTCTAACATAGAAACCATGATGCTAATCTGTCTATTTATCCCTCCTAACAGTGCAGCCATGTTGCTATTATGGTACTTAATCCTTCAGCATAATTCACATAGTTGTCAGATAACAAGGCAGAATGGCCAGGTGGTAGCAGTGCATCTATTTGGTATGGACTCTCTTGGAATACACAAGCTAAATTATTCCTCTTCATCTCACCCTACGGCTGATAGCACCCTCCCACGGTCTTAGCAGGATTTTTAACAATTTTAAATGCATCTATCTTCACCCAGGAGAAAAAGCAGTAGTAATATTGTCATTTGAGGGAGAGTAAACTGAGGAATGGAGAAGAATGCCCCTGAAGTTCATGTCAGGCAGCAACTTGAAAGCTGGTGCTGGATCTTTTCCCCACCTGGACCCGCATTCATAGCCCCATACAACTTGGGCTATTTTTTTTTGGGACCAGTGCCAACTCAGGATGCGTTTCCATCCAATACATCAACCACCCAGGTGAGAAGGGACAGCAGCTCTGAGTTGAGTCACACGTGGTCTTTCCTCTCCCCTGTCACAGGTGTGGTTCAGCAACCGAAGAGCGAGATGGCGCAAACAGGCAGGAGCAAACCAACTTGCTGCTTTCAATCACCTGCTGCCGGGGGGCTTCCCGCCGACAGGAATCCCGGCTCTCCCCCCATACCAGCTGCCAGACTCCACCTACCCAACAACCACCATTTCCCAAGGTGAGCAGCTCTTCACCTCTCCTCCTCTCTTGCCCTACATCATCCCATCATCCCTTCCCTTTCTGATTCGTGACATCCCACTAAGACTCTTGTAATACATAGGTGGTTTTCCTTTAGTTGGGAAGACCAAGTTTTCCCTCAAGCCAATGGAAACTCCACAGTTTTCTCCTCTATCTCCTGGTCCTTTCTGCTGTGTCAGTGTGTCTCATGACTCTAGTTCTTCTGCTCAGCTTTGAAATGAAGAGTGCAGCAGTCCAAAGTGAGTATCATATAGGTGATCTCTCCGTACTGGAGATCAGTGGAAGGAGTGTTACTAATTCCAGTTGGCTTTGGTCTTTACAAAAGAATTTACAGCTTCTGTCTGGGGGAAAATTAAGAGAAAATTCAGATTATTTCCTCCCAGGTTGTACCCTGCATAAACTGTCACATGATACACTTGTGTTCACATGGAGCACGGAGATGGTGGGACCCAGAAGCTTTGATGGTGATAACCAAACCATCAATCCATGCTTTGCACAATCCCAGCTGTAACACCCCATGACTGTTTGCCTCTGAACACTCTCTCCACAGATGGGGGAAGCACCGTGCACAGACCCCAGCCCCTGCCACCATCCACCATGCACCAGGGAGGACTTGCCGCAGCCGCTGCTGCTGACACCGGCTCTGCCTACGGGGCCCGACACAGCTTCTCCAGCTACTCAGACAGTTTCATGAACGCTGCAGCTCCTGCCAACCACATGAATCCTGTTAGCAATGGCCTCTCTCCACAGGTATGTGACCCACTTCCCTTCTCTTTCTTTGGCTGAGAGTATTTGGCTGGTCCAGATCCTCTGAGAGCAGGGCAAGCTTCAGGCTATCACAGTGTGTTATGGTTAACAAGGGACTTATTGTTATTGTCACGAGTTCTTGGAGACAGCCTAGTTAAAGCAATTAGTTAATTTGTTTATCTGCAGTATCTCTATCCTCAGCTCAGCACTGTACTGCCAGAGCATTTGTATCCTGTTAGTTCCCATATTCAAGTTAGCAGACTGTAATCACAAACACCAGGACCTAGAGCATCAGTGTTCTTCTTTTCAGCCCTCAAAAAAAGTTCCAGTGCAG